TTCAACTTGCTTAGCCAAGACAGAAGTCTGGCTGCATAGAGACAGTGCAAAAGTGAGGTGCTCCATAACTGAAGGATCCCACTGGACAATACCTAGGTAGAACTTTCTCATCAGAATCATCAAGAGTAGAATGGCCTCTTCCAAATTATTCTTAGGGACATAGGATCCATCAATTTGAACAGCTAGACTAGGTGGGCCAGCCTCCACTCCACTGTACAGCAGAAAGACTGCAAATGCTTTCTGAATTCTTGCACAACGGTCATTGTCAAGGTTCCACTGGCTAAGAAGGGCACGTCTATAAGCTAACATTGCTTCAGGATAGCACCCAGCCTGTTTCCACAGCTCCGGGAGAAGCTCCACAGCATGGCTTACTGTCTCCTGTAATTTAATGTCCACCTGCACATCAGGTATTCCCTGATGGAAGATCCTCTCAACAGCATCAAGAACACTTTTACATTCATTTGCAGCCTCTGTGAAATAGAAAGGGGAAAAAAGGCCGTTTTACCTCATGGTTACAAAAAGATCAGGAAGAAGCAAGACAATTATAATTCTGGATGCCCGCAAGGCAAAAACTGCTGACAAAGGACTTTACCACTCAATCTGCCAAGCTTTTGTAAAGACTTTGCTTTCAAATATATGGCTTCAAGGACCAAGCTAGCAGCATGCTGTGAAACCACATGTGGTGATTCTGTTCGACAGCGGCTCTTTCTGGAAGTTTGTTTCTCAGCAGCAAAAGGTTGCAGCCGCTGTATAGCTGCCTGGAGATCAATGCCTTCAAACACACGAAGAGCACCCTCTACATTTCCCCTTTGATATTCCAACCTCCCAAGAAGAGCCCTAGCTTCCTGAAAAATTTAGGGAGAAAAACCATGTAGCAACAGTCTAACATGACGTCAAATACTGAAAACAGCTCAAAAGGACAACTACGGTTTCGCTTACCTGTACATGCAGCAAATACAATTATGACACGCAAAGCTCTTGTCCAGAAAAAAAAAATCAATTCATATAAAAAAAAAATCTAGAAACTGAAGATATAGATAAATAATGCATTCTTATGGAAGGATTATTACATTCCAAGCTCATTCCTATTGAAAATCTGTAATCAACGGAGGCTACAAAAGGACTAGTACATTAGTACTTATTCAAGGAGTGATGGGCTTTTGATTGAACTCAAATTCTATTAACAACAAATTGCAAAAGGTCAGCTGTTACGTCCCTAGCCATACCATTAATCCATTCATGATTGACATCCATGAACACTGTGACACACTTTTCCTTCAGAAAACTCACTAGGGAGATGTTCTAAGGTTAGTGTTACAAGAATTACGAGAGAGGATATTACCTTCAAGGTATATGACAGCACAAGTAGAATAACCTCTACCAAGCAAGCAAGAGTCACTTTATTTATAATTACAAAACTTACATTTCAAATTATTCCATAAAACTGAACAATTTGATAAACAAAGGAAGATTTTAAACTACCGGAAGAGATTTCCTGTAGCAACCGATTACACGCACACCATACACTCAAGCAATCACTTATCTCTGCCAGAGCAGGATGGTTTTCAGTGCAGTCAACACCTTAATACCATGTTTATATCAAAAAAGTAGTTTGTAGGTAAATCAATGCCAAAAGTGAAAGAGAATTTTCTAGGTAGACAGTTATGAGCAAACAAGCATGTTTGTATCGAAAAATCGGCATTTGAGAGAGAGAGAGAGAGAGAGAGAGAGAGAGAGAGAGAGAGAGAGAGAGAGAGAGAGAGATGAATGACTGTGAAACGCTCTGATTGAAGTTCAAATTGTCGAGAGGATTTTTTTTAGCTATTACCATCATACTGCATGTACACATTTTATCAGTTAGCTCAATAAATTTTGTTTTAGTGATAAGCCAAATTCCATTAAAATGATGCCAATGGGTGTATTGCCTGCCCCTATGTAAAATGGCTTCAGCAGGGAAGACATCCTTATAGAAAATTATGCCCAAACTATTGTTTCTAACATTGCCAACAAACTAGTCGTATTGGGTTGCAGTGTAAGAAAGCTCTCAAGTTATTTATCGTCAAAAAAGAGAAAATAGACCTTGATGCGAGCAATCCCTGATCAGCCAGCAAAACTAATGAAAATTTTTAGAGACTCACCTCAAAATTAAGCGACAAGCCCTCACGTAACGACGATTCTGCCTCTTGAATATTTCCCTCATCAAGTTTTGCTTCAACTTCTGTAGTTTTCATGCAAAGCCCATTGGCACGGACTTCACGAACTGATGAATCATCCCCATGCCCACTGAACTCTGTGGATTGGTGGCTCCGTGGCATCTGTACTTTCAACAACCTCTACACATTTCACTCTCTTCCACTCCTTTGTTTCCCTAATACTTCAGCTTCGATGAAGCTTCTTCTCTTTTCACATATAAAGAATAAGGAATTTCAGCTCAAGTATACTCAATAACCTAAGATAATAGCTAATGATGCAGCAAGCTCAATTAGCCTGACTTGCAAACGAACTAGACACACATTTCCATAATGGCACCATGATTACTGAGTCTAAAAACAGAAAGGTATGAACAGTAATGCGACAGTTATCATAAGGCACATAGTTAAAGGCCACGCCAGGCCAGGCCAGGCAGACAGGCATTGTCAGTAACATACAAGATTTAAATTTGCTCACATGCACTAAACTTCCAATTTAAATCCATGAACATCTAGCATGGCTTCCATGACAAAATAGAGTGAAATTGGCTTGAATTGTTATAAGAGTGTCCCCAAGGGACTAATTCAGCTTCATCTGATACGCGTTCCAAAGGCAAAAAGGTAAAATTTTTGCATGCTCTAGTTTCCAGTGATGCGAAACGCTCGTACTCTAGCAATTGACTCATCTACAGTGTCTAAAAAAATCTCAATTTCTATAACTATCCATACTCATCTAGTGTCTCGAGGGCTGGCTAACAAAACCCTCAAAGAATAAGTCAAACCCGAGGACGTTCAACTTCTGTTCAGCCAAAACCATCGGGAAATTCACCACTCAACCGGAATAGCAAGCCGAATCAGCCATTGCTTCCAACTAAAACACGAATCCAACCCCATTTCCTGTTCTTTTCCAGCTACATTGACAATGCACCCGACACATGAACGGGAAATCGTCTCTTAAGATCCAATCACGTCATGAACACAAAAACACAAAAAAATTTCGGATTTTTTTTCCTCCCCAGAGCTAGAATCGTTAAATAATGTGGCACCCAGAAAGTCAAATCGCTCGCTCCTCCTCGCGAAATTCTAAATTACAAATCCCACAAAGTCATCAGGAACGACCCCGACAGATCGCAATTAAGGCCACCCGCTCGGGGGCGACTTTCAACCAAAGCATTCTCTGACCTGAACGAGCGAATCCCCCCGAGGGGGGGGGGGGGGGGGGGTGAAAAGCAGGCGATCGCGAGCCCGCCGAGCGCCGCCGAGCGAACCAAGGATCAACGAAACGCGACGGCGGCCCTCCGTCCGATTCCGCAGCAGCCAGGCCCAGGAACGAGGCAGGGAGGCCGCCCTTCGTGGGCGAAAAAGGAGCGACCTTTCCCCTTCAATTGTGCGGGAGAAACCGCAGGCGGAAGAGACAGAGAGAGAGGGAGCGATGGATCTGAGAATGGAGAGGCGGGTGGGCGTAAAGGTTCGATCTTGAATGTGCACAGATCGTTAATGGCGACGAGGGAGGGGGGAACGAGGTGAGAGAGCGAGAGAGAGAGAGAGAGGGGAGGGGTGGTGATCCTGTACACTTGCCTCCTCTCGTGGGCTCTGCTGTCCCGTCCTCCGGAGCCACGTCGTTCGAAGGGCAAACAGGGGTCAAAAATGTAATTTCGCATGTACCCCGTTCTCTCAAATGTGGGCACACCGTTCGGCCGGCCGTCGCCTTCAATTCATTTCGTGGGTCATTGTAAGGGACGTAGAAAGGAGAGATCTTTAATCCGCGTCGCGTTCCTTTAAGTCTCTCGGCAAGTCTCGGATGTCGATGAAGTATCCGTGCTCGTAAATTGACGGTTGAGATTCACCCGCCGTACGGGACAGGGGATCCACGTAGAATGTCTCGTGACCGAAGAGCACGAGTCGCTGGTGGTCTGGTGTTCCGCCGAAGCAGCATGATGGCACGCAAATAAATGAGCGGTCAGCCAGCTTTGTCCATCAATGAATCTGTCATTAATGGTTATGATTATTGCTGTCATGTTTGCAGTTACGCAACGCAGATAGGTGTCCTTAAATGGCCAGACATGATATCCCCCAGTTCACTAAAATGACGGCATTTCGAACTGAACAGGGGCCAGCATGAAGAATGATCCCCTGTGACTTGGTCTCTCATCCTTTGTCTTCCCTTTTTGCTGTTCTTTCAAGTTTCTTATCGCAACAGGGATGGATGGGAGGAGGAATTCCGCGGATTGTTCCGGATCGGCGGTAACCGATCGTGTGCCCTTCTTTAAGTCCACAGGCTGAGGGGTCGTAATTCATCGGACACGGGCATTTGTAACCGCACCGTACCTAAGTGGAGCGGATAATCAGTTCCAATGTTCGATCGTTCTGTAACATATTGGTTAATCGTAGAAAGATGAAGCCAGCAGAAAGTACTCTTTCTACTCGTGCTTTCCTATGTTATCAGCAGACTCGAGCGCATCTGATGTTCTAGGAGATACTGAGCAGAACGGAACGATATCTGATTATCACTCATGGCGCAACAGTTCGGCCCTGTGGTTCGGTAGAAAACATTCGAAAAGAGGCGTACTAGACGAACCTGCAGAAAACTTTTGAAAAGATATATGGACTGGAGTAAGTTGACGCCGCACGTTGTCATCTACATGATGAAGACATCCAGTTAGTTGTTGTCCTCCAGTCTTGAGCAATACCATGTACAATGATTGGGTCGTCAAACAGATACATCTTGGCCTGGGATTGGGAATCCTTGTGCTTTCTGTGTTGGAACCAAAAGAAAAAAAATGATAATTTTGGAAATTTGGAACTCACGAATAAAGACCGGATGGGGAACTTCTTATTGAAATGCAAATGCTTTTGCTTCGGGTGTGTCTACAGATATGAACTTCGCAACCTTGGTTGGAGGCACACAACTGACAATCGTAAATGAAGCAACACGAAAGTCCGCAAAGTTAACAAAAAGCACACAAACAAAGTCAATACAATAAACGCATCTGAAGACATGCGTAACAACAATACGTGGAGAACTCTTCGATGACCAGTCTCCATGCTTCAGCAGCTCTCCTTCATTAAATGCTTGTAACTTCTCTGTCTTCGATCTTCTTCAAGCACCAACCATGAATCATGCTTCACCGATTCGTTTTCATTCTTCTTCCAACACCCACCGTAAATCGATGAATTCTTTGAAGAATGCTCAAATCTTCAACAATCAATTTGATACTATTCTAACATTCTGATCAGTTAGTGATTTGGAATATTAATGGCTGTCAGGATCGGTTCCTCCTCCTTTTTTTTTGGTTGAAAGGATCGGTTCCTTCAGACGGGCTAGTTTTCCCCTTGTTATGTTTAGGGATGGTAGAAATGTGAAATGGCGGGATGAGAGTTAGTTAGATCGCAATGCGCCTCTCTGTTTCCCAACCAAGTCTTGTCCGTCTCACTCTGCTGTTGTGTTCACACGATCCGCGGCATTTTCGACCTGAGAAAGCAAATTCATTCAGTATATGCAATATTCGGGAAATGATGGAAATGTGAGGTAAGGCAAAGCTGGAATCACCTCCTTGGTCCAATTTGTTCTTGCAGTCAATATGATCAAGGTTGCTGTTTGCAGGATAACCCCAATGATCATTCCCCACCAGATTCCCTGAAGATCGAAAAGCGTTTGAGAGAGAGAGAGAGAGAGAGAGAGAGAGAGAGAGAGAGAGAGAGAGAGAGAGAGAGAGAGAGAGAGAGAGAGAGAGAGAGAGAGATTGTTGATTTACCGCCACTTCTAAACTAGTTTTGAAACCGAGAACACATCCGATGGGGAGACCGATGATGTAGTAAGCGGTCAAGTTTACGTATGCCACCACGGCTTGCCACCCGCTTCCAATTGCCACACCTGCAGATTCATGAAGCATGAATTGTAATCTGGCATTGATTCGAGTAGTTAACACAACAAATGTCAGGCCTCACAATGTTTCCCATGACCGAATTAGACAGCACAAACATAAAACAGTCTAGAAAAACGTTAGGACAGAGAAAACTTTGATATGACATTGCTTGTTTAACCGAAAAATTTGGACACAGATTGCTGTACTTCTTAAGAATGTACTGGTTTATTATTTGAATGAATTGGAACCATAAAAAACGTGGGACATGAATCGACAAGGCATGCTAGCAATTACAATTATATATCATGCCGGATACAACATCAGTTACCTGACAGTATGGGTTGAATGCCATTCAGGAAGACAGAGATGGCCAGCAGAGGAGTTATTTCAGAAACAGCATTAATGACTTCTTCATCACTTGTGAAGAGTTTGCTCAAACCAACCCGGAATATGAGAACAATCGCAGTGAACACTATACTAAGGAGAATACTGGTCGCATTCACTACCACAACTGCAAATTTCGCAACTCTTGGATGACCTGCCCCTAACTCGTTACCGACCCGGATACTGCAATCAGTCACCAAATCATCTGTAAGCTGACAAAGGTACAACAGGGATCATACTAAACCACCAACTGGATGAGAAGCGTAATAATGGTAGTCATCAGCATTTTAATAGCAGTTTGTGGGGATAAGAACACCACAAGTGTCATAACTTTCGTACGATACTCACTTGAGTGCCATAACTTTTTTTTTCGACCACTTAAATGCTATAACTTCTTTAAAACGTTCATTTTAGAGCCATAACTTTCAATCGATCACTTGAGTATCAAAACTTTTTAAAAACATTCACCTAAGTTTCGTAAATCTGACGTTGCATAGCATTTGTGATAAATGTTTTCAAATAGATATGACACTCAAGTGATCAATTAAATAGTTATATGGTACTCAAGTGATTGGAAAAAAAGTTATAGCACTTCAATAAACGTCATATAATAGTTATGACACTCAAGTGATAAAAAAAAGAGTTATGACACTCAAGTAAGCACTGTACGAAAGTTATGACACTTGTGGTGTTCTTTTCCACAGTTTGTGTGGCCAAAAAAAGAGTAGGCAATGATACTAGCCAAAATTATGGAGATTATCAACCAAAATTATAAAGGAACATTATTCAACTATCTAAAATGTCATTCAACAATCTGTAACTTTTGAAGTGACAGACCTGGCTCCTGCACTGAGCCCCAGCATGAACTGCATATCCCAATTCCAGTAATTAATGCTGAAAATGAGGGTAAACATCAAGTTAGGAGGATGAAGGTAGCATGTCCAATAGAAGAAAGATGATTAGCTGACATACCAGATGGACATCGTGTCCAATTCTATTGTAGGATTGGAGAGGAAACCTGCTAGGAACACCAGTCCATTGAAGTACCATATTTCCAAGCTGCATTCAGATAGAACTAAGGTCACTTTTGCGACAGTTAGGCATTTGGGCACGTTCAATCCACACAGCCAACTGGAACCGTCCTTGAAGTGTCTTTTTCTATTTTAAGAAAAGATGAGTTTTCAATCTTTCATTTTCCGAAGGCTGTCCTTTCGGCTGTTTTTTAAGGATCTCACTTTCAAATTTAAGCAAAGCTTCCAGATAGTACTTTTTTCATAAAAAGAAGAAACTTCTTTCCAAATTGAACACAGGATCAAGGGGGGGCGGTAAACCACGCTCGCTAGCACACATGACCTCAGAGCTTCTAATCAGTCCTAAACTATCGAAAGGTCTCACTTTTTCATTCTTTAGGGTAAATTCCTTTCCAAAAGTCCTACAAGGATCAGAAAACATCGACAAATAATTCCTTTAGAAAAACAATAGGTTTCTTGATAGATCCTACAACTGACCCCAGACTAGAAGTGTATGTAACGACGTTCAAGCTTTGGAAATGGTTCCATGGGGGTACGTTGCAAATTTTCGTCTTGAGACCTGCCCACCTAAACCTTGCTCAACCGTGGCAATGTAAAAGACTGAATGAGTGCACTAAGCAGTTATGCAACAAACACGTACCAAAGCATTACAGCAGAAGCAACCGTAAGCTTGAAGTAAGGCCAAACTCCTGTTAAAGCCCTAATTGACAAGCCGGTCCAGGTTTCTCTGCAAGAGGGGCTCAGGACAATGTAAAGCGCATTGATGAGGACGAGAATCCACCACGAGAGGCTCAGAGTCAGGGCCGCCCCTAGGAGGCCGTAGTCCAAGACATAGACCACAATCCATGTGAGGAGGGTGTGCCAGAGGAAGACCCCCACGGACATGTAAGCCAGAGGGTTCACTATGTTCTGTGCCTGAAGGAACCTCTGCATCGGGCAGGCGAGGGCGAATGCATATAGCTGAGGGATCAATCCCCGCGTGAATAACTGGCCCGGCTCGGTGATGCTCTCAGATTCTCCAATCGCTAGGAGTATGTCGCCGGAGAACCAGTATACAAAGCTAAGAAGGACAGCTGCCCCCAAGTGCAGAACTATAGCTCTTTGGCAAATGATGCCCATTTCCGAGTACCTCTTTGCCCCATAAGCCTGGCCACAGACAGTTTGCACCGCGCTGGCCATGCCCAACTGTGTGATATCGGAACGCAAGGAAAGTTTATGAATTGTTTTACATGCTTCGTGAATCAACGGAACATAACACCGGCATTATGGCTTGATACGTTAGTAAAATTTCCAACAATGAGACTGGATAATATGCTTGTGATCTTAGACAATTCAGATAAGTGAATGCAACTATTAGCATAACCAAATTATGAGCATTAAAACTGTGATCATTGAACTGGCAGCCATAAATTCAATGAACTTTTAAGAGTGGTGGGCAAATACCATAATGCCATAAGCAAGACCTTGGATGCACACGCTAGCCATGGAGGCTCCCGCAAGTTCCTCCGCGCCCAAATGCCCAACAAACATGAGCGACACGAAACTGAGCATGTAGTTGAAGATGGACACGATGATGGATGAGCCAGATACTAGCCAGAGCAGCCTCGACTCCCAGGCCACCAGACGCGCCCACCATCGGAGGGGGACCGGATGCTCGAGGACCTCCTCGATCGTGCCAGACGACAAGTCGGAGATGGGACCGGGAGGGTCCAGTCGGAGCAGCAACGGCTGTTGCTCTGGCTCTGCTGATCCCATGTTCCCTTCGCGGCGAAGAGAACTCGATAGCTCAAGCTGTCGAGTCGGAGTGACCAGGAGCCCGTTTGGTCAAAGAGGTGTCCCGAAGCTTCTTTAAATAGGCGGCAAATTGAGGTTGAAGGTTAACTACCCGTCTTTTCTCCTAAGACAGACGCAGTTCCTCCTTTCGTGGAACAGACAAAAAATTTGTTAGATAGAGCTAACACCGCAAATGTGTCGCCCTAAAGAAACTGCTGAAGCAGATGATATGTCTACACTGTTAAAAACGTTTGCCTACAGGATCTGTAATGTCTTTTTATACAAGACACGTGTCGTCCTCCATCTACCAATTTAAATTTTTTGCTCGGACATTTTAATATGATGTCAAAACTGGTTCGATATATTTCGCGTGGGCAGCGTCGAGCAAGAAGATTGTTATCATAAATGGCTTGTCTTCTGTACGGTTTTTCAGAAATAAGAATATTCGATCAAATCACTCGAAAATAAAATCTTTATTTTCGTCCAACTAGATTATAAGACTAATAATTCCTATAATTTTTCCTTTCTTTTCTAGGTTCTACATTTTTTCCATAGTTATTAGAAATAGAAATTGTCTTTCATATCATAAACTCCCACCCTCGGAGATAGTTCCAGAAAGAACCTTTCGATCTAATGAGGAGTCTGTAGAGATAAAATATTAGAGGACCTTGTCGCTTGGACCGCCTTCAGTAAATGAACTGAGCGTGAGTCGACATCTCGTACCAACTACCAATTTCCGAGGGCGTGCTCTTTGAAAGGCAAGTTGGGGAGTGGAGTGGCCAGTTGGTGGCCTACGATTCTTCTCTTTACCAGGTCAAGCCACCCAGTTTGACAGTAATCGGGGTGGAGAAAATACCAAATCAAATCGAACGAGTTCAAAACGACGATGCTGCGTGAATCTGGATTCAAAGATTTTTCATTTTCATCCATGGTATAGTTTTGGTCAGTCACTTGAAAAGTTGGTCTTAAACATCAAAGTGCAGATGATTTCATGAGCAATGGAAGTACAAGGCGATCAGCAATGGAAGTACAAGATCTCGTGGTCAGTCAATTGAGGTACGAGGCGATCATCAACTGGCTGTGGCCCAGAGCCTAAGAAAGTTACTTTAGGGTCCCACTGCATTTCGGACAAGACGTGCCGCACGTCGCCTTTGAGCAAGAAAAAGAGTCAAAGAGAGAAAAGAAGGAAACTGCTGCAGTTTGCCCGAAAACTAGCATATTCGTAGCTTTGGATTCTTCGAACGTGAACGAAAATCATTCTCTTTCCCGGCTCAATTTCTTGCTTATTTCTATTCTTCGAACGAATTTCTAATGAAAAAGTAGTATTTGATAATCACACAAAATTTATATTACCGAAATAAAAATTCGTTTGATGAGTTATTTTTAAATTTCTGTTCACAGCGGTCGGAGGCCGACCGACAGTGGTGGGGGCAGTGGCGAGCAGCGAGGGCGAGTGATAAAAAGAGTTGTTTTTTTTTATTCCAGAAATAAAATAGTTAAAAAAAAATTTACTTCTCATTTCTATTCTAAACTGATTTCCAGGCTAAAAATTTATCCCGGAAATAAAAAAATGAAATTACGTTGCCAAACGGATTTATCTTCCAAAGTAGTTCCCGAGAACATAATAATAGAAAAATAGGAAACAAAATGGTTACATTCGCGCCCTTATATGCCGAATGGTTCATGAATTTTTAATCTAATGTGTAATGTCGTCCCTTAATTTATAATTTGTTCAAAGTAGTCCATGAACTATTTATAAATGTTCAATTTGGTCAATAAACTACATGGAAAATGTTAAATATAATTCTTAAGGTAATTCAAGTTAACGAGATTCATTGATATGGCTCACAATCTATTAAGTTTGAATGGTAGACAATAAGAAAAAGTTACACGTGAATCATCCAAGTAAGATATTCATATAAAATTGGGCTATAATAATTAACGTCGTCAAATAATGATAGTCATGTTAACAGCCTAGTTTTCTTTTCTGCCTTTTTAAAGTAGATGGATAAAAAGATGGACATGTTGACTCATCATTTTAAAAATTCAACTTAGCATATAATAATCCATGCCCTTAAATAATGTCTAATTTGTCATTTGAGCAAACGGAATGACTACATTAAACATTTACTAATAGTTAAAGGGACCACATTGAATAATTAAAAATTCAGGGATGACGTTGAACATTAGACTAAAGTTAAAAGACCATTTGAGTCATTTTTTCAATGTAAATCGACTTTTTTGATGTGGGGGTTGACTTGTTGATGGGATGACGTTGTTAGTTCATGGGAAACTTGTTCAAAAAGTTCTAAACCTATTACACTTTTGTCAATTTAGTCTTAAACTTGCAAATTGAATCCTAAACTTTTTCATATTTTGTCAATTAAATCCATTCGGCCGATTTTAATTGGAGACTACTGATGTGGATGTCGATAGCGCCACGTAGGAGGCCAACGCTGACGTTGACAAATTTTTTTTAAAAATTATTTGTTTATAATTTTATATTTCTTTTCTTTTTTCTTTTTCTTTCTTTCTTTTCCTTTTTTTTTCCTACCAAGTCGGGCGAGGGCCACGACTCTCACTCGCGACTAGCAAGAGCTTTGCGGTCGGCGAGGGTCAGTGGGGCCTTGCCCTATGACCTGCGAGAGTCGCCCAGCCCTCATGGGGCTTGGAGTAAAAAGGAAAAAGAAAGAAAGAAAAAAATTATAATAAATTCAAAAATTTTCAAAATATTATAAAAAATATCTATGTTAGCGCCGGTTGTGCCACGTAAGACGATTAGCGGCCACGTCAGCAATTTCCGGCTAAAATTAGCCGGATGGACTTAATTGGTAAAACGTGAAAATGTTTAGGATTTAATTGGAAAAATTGAAAGATTTGACATTGAATTGATCAAAATACCATAGATTTATGACATTTTGGACAATTTTCCATGAACTAACAACGTCCGTCCACCAACAAGTGGACTTCCCATTGATGTTACCGATCTAATGTTCCTTTCAATTGCTTCAGGAACGAAGGTGCTAAAATTGGTGAGGAAGTTCATCTTTGCATCTTGTATTGTTAGCTCGTTAGATTACATCCTTGCTTTAAGCTGAGGAACACAGTGTTGGATATTCCACTCATGCGTGATCAGCTAATGTCCTTGCGAGATTAGCCGTCAAAGCGACGAACAAATCTGATTACGTCATTCTTATTGAAACTATCTATTCCATAGTTGCTTTAATTGTGTTCACAATCTTGTAATTTCTTCAAGCAACAGAGCATCGGCTTCCTTGGCAAAGGTAACAATGGGACTGCAGAAAAGCGAACCGAATATTCGAGCCCACTGATGACAGCACGAAGGAAGGAAGTGTTGGTTTCTAATCTGCAGATGGGTGTGGGCGACAGTTCAGGTTCGACGCAGACAATCTCTTCAGCTCGTGAAAAGGATGTGCGCAGGAATTCGACTGCTTATCAATGGATGAACCAGCTCAGTAAGTGCATTAACCAAATTTTCTAGCCGGACTATTGATTTTTTTGCGCATTTGCGGTCAATCCTTTAGCATCTCATCGTTTGGATACTTTTAGATATGATTGTGAAACTTATTCATTTCTTTCTGTAAGAGTAATTTCATCCTATTGGATTGGAATTATGTTTCGGGTGCTCGACACTCTCTAAATAGCGCATCGAAAAGACTGGTTTCTCTCTTATGGCATCGATTTTTCATCATCTAGTAGGAGTCTGCACATGCCGCCTGCCCTGAATCATTTGCTTTTGAATTTTTCCCCATTCTGCACAAGTGAACAATAAAAATGTCCAGATCAAATGCAGTATGTAGTGAACAAGCGTTCCTGGGTTTCATCTAGTGAAAGCACGGTGACGAGCGAATGGAGTATTCATCAGCATTCCTCAGGCCTATATCCTGATTTCCGCAATGCGGATGATTGAAATATGTGAAGGCTCTTTATCACAGACGTTGCCGGTTACAAGAAAATGGTTCCCTTCCCTCTTCAAAATCTGGGCTCATATATACACGATAAGAGAAAAATGATAAAGAAAAGCCTATCAAGATATTTCACCTATCTATTCTCTCACATTGTGAGAAAAATGCAGGACCTGCAATCTAAATGCTGGAAACCGAATGGAGATTAAATAAGCAACCGTTATACATCATCAACCAGGTCTAATGTCTCCACATTCGCCGAACTCTTCAAGCGAGTAGCAGCCTTTTCGACCTGAGACAAACAGAGAATTAGGTATCAGAGTCCATGTCTGACATGAAACCAGATGAGATGAACAATTCAGAACTACAGCTACCTCAGCAGTCCAATTTGTTCTAGCAGTCAATATGATGAGGGCTGCTGTTTGTAGAAGAACCCCAACAATCATTCCCCACCAGATACCCTGAAATGAAGAGCACTTGTCATGAGTACGTGTGTGTATATGAGAGAGAGAGAGAGAGAGAGAGAGAGAGAGAGAGAGAGAGAGAGAGTCAATTTTACCGCCGCTCCTAAGCTAGTTTTGAAACCAAGAACGCATCCGATGGGGAGACCAATTATATAGTAAGTGGCTAGATTGATGTAGGCCACCACGGCTTGCCACCCGCTTCCAATTGCCACACCTGCAAATCAAGTGCAATAGCAGTTAAAAACCATTTACATAATGAGGGATCATCGACCGCTTCACTAACAGCTATTACAGCATTCACAGCAATAGTTACCTGAGAGTATGGGCTGAATTCCATTGAGGAAAACAGAGATGGCCAACAGAGGAGTTATCGCAGAAACTGCTTCGATAACTTCAGTATCGCTCGTGAAGAGTTTGCTCAATCCTACCTTGAATATCAGGACAATTGCTGAGAACACTATACTAATGAGAATGCTGGTTCCAGTCACCACCAAGACCGAAAACTTTGCCACACTAGGATGACCTGCCCCAAGCTCATTGCTTACACGGACACTGCAGTGAACAGCCGAATTCATTAGCAAGCCGACATAATTACCGTAACTTGATACCACGATGCACTGTTATATTGCTTATTGTTGCAAAGAGTGCAAATGTGATGGTCATAATTGTGGCAAGTGCATCTCCATATTATTACTACTATTTGGAGTGACAAACCTGGCGGCTGCAGCTAGCCCTAGCATAAATTGCATGTCCCAGTTCAAGTAGTTCATACTGAAAGCGAAAAGCGTCATCGAGTCAAGAAAAAAGCAAATTTGGATGACCACGACAAAGGAAGAAACAGTTTTGCCAGCATTACCAAATGGATATGGAGTCCAATGATACGGTGGGATCAGGGAGGAGACCTGAAATGAGCACAAGACCTTGGAAGTACCATATTTCCAAGCTACATGAAGAAGAAAAAAACGTCAGGTCATGGTGGATCAAGACTTAATGAACATGGTGACCAGTCCTACACACGTACCAAAGCATGATGGCAGAAGCCACAGTGAGCTTGAAGTAAGGCCAGATTCCCTGGAATGCTTTCATTGACAGGCCGGTCCAGGTCTCTTTACAAGAAGGGCTCAGGATGATGTAAAGCCCGTTTACAATGACGAGGAGCCACCAGGAGAAGCTCAAGGTCAGAGCTGCCCCCAGGAGGCCGTAGTCCAACACATAGACAACAATCCATGTGAGAAGGATGTGCAAGAGGAATACCCCAACAGACATGTAAGCCAGAGGGTTTACTATGTTCTGTGCCTGGAGGAACCTCTGCATTGGACACGCGATTGCGAACGCATACAGCTGGAGGATTAGGCCCCTCGCGAAAATCTGGCCTTGCTCGGCGATGCTCTCCGATTGGCCAATAGCTGTGAGTGCCGCACCAGAGAACCAGTACAAGAATGTGAGCAGGAAAGCCGCTCCGATGTGCAGGACTATGGCTCTTTGGCAAATGATGCCCATCGAGGCGTACTTCTTCGCACCATAGGCTTGGCCACAGACGGTTTGCACGGCACTAGCCATTCCCAACTGTCCATTGGAATCACAAACAAACCTGGGTAAGTGTTCTGTAAATGGGAGAGCTTATTGCCCATACTCATTTGGATATGTACTTAACCGATCACATTTAGGACTCATCTAAAGCCAATGAACAGAACATAGACGAGGCTGAGAGACCATGGTCAAGATTTTTACTGAATTAAGCAATCGTAAGTGGGCTTGGCACTAGGCCTATTTTGTCACTACATTCCGTGAACGAGTCTAACTCGATAACTTCTCGGCAACTCTCCGCCTGATATACGCACAATTGTTTACTATATTTACGGCGTCGAATCATAACCATCTATCGACTTTCCCAAAGGAGGCATGGAAGGGGCAGAGCAGTACAAAATGGTGTACATGCCAGATGTGCAGGAAAAAGAGTTTGATCCAGCATCATCATCCTAGTACATAACCCAAGAACAAACAAAAAGATTTTGACTTCTGATTGTCGCCGACTAAAGAATTGGAACTCGAATCGCGATATCGTGAGCAGACATGGATTTCCATCACTGTAACTCCGGTACGTAAACCGCCACAAGTTAAAAGAATGAAAGGACACATATACATTACCATGATCCCGTAGGCAAGGCCTTGAATGCCCACGCTGGCAATGGAAGCCCCCGCAAGCTCCAGCGCACCCAAGTGCCCAGTGAACATGAGGGTCACAAAGCTGAGCATGTAGTTGAAGATGGACGTCACAATGGACGAGCCCGAGAGCAGCCATAGCAGCCTCGACTCCCATGCCACGAGGCGCGGCCACCACCGGAGCGCGACGGGGCGGTGCTCGAGGAACTCCTCGATCGCCACCGACGACAGGTCCGGTATCCGGCTGTGAGAGTCGAGCCCGAGCAACAATGGCTGATACTCCGCCGACCCCATGTCCCTCTGTTTTTGTGTTCCTTAGACCCGATTTAGGCGATGCTAATGGACAATTCAGCGGACCACAAGCGCACACACAAGCCTCAAGCTAGAGTGTCCTATGTGAGCGCTCGAGTTTAAGGAGTGAGAGTGTGCGAGCGATAAGAGTAGTAGTTATCAAGGAACAGAGTTTTAACTTTGTAACTACCATTCCAGTTCCTGGAGAAGCAGACCAAGCAGCTTAGGGTGTTAGGTTTTATTGCACTCGGTATTTGCGTTTGCATGTGGGTGTCTGAGAGGAGAATGTTGGGGATTGTGTTAGATAAATCTAACACCCCACGAGGTCAACCTAACACCACGGTCGGGATTTTCAAACGGACCTTGAATTCATACAATATTACTGAAGGACAGAAATTTTTTTGCTATCTAATATGGGTTTCATTAAAGAATTATGACGTTGATATTTGTTTCTTGATGGAACTTTCTCAGGGCAGATGATTCCTGCCCGTGCCGGTAAGCTGTCCAGATCAGATATGATTAATGTACTTAATTTTTAAACTATTCCTAGAATTTAGGGTAGTCTGTGATCACACGGGTTTAATGTACTCAACTGTTTTTGCTCATGGAAGACCCTAAAAATCTGTCAAAAGAAATTCTCAATAAATTCGTACGAACAGAGAATATCAAAATTTCCATCATACCTCGTTCCTTACACTTTCGGATCAATTTATTTGTTCAATTTTTTTTTCGAACGCAAAGCGTGTGCGCTTTTGCTAGTACGATTGAAGGGTCCTTCGCAAAAAAAAAAAAAACATAGAAGAAAAGAAGAGAAAGACGATTTCTGTTGGATGAAGTGCGGAGCAAATCTCACGGGGTCCTCGCAACCCAAAGTCAAGAGGAGTGAATCCAACATTTTCATAGCATTCATGGAGCTACTAACGTAGCTAGGGTTTTAAAAAGTTTTCTGACGATGAATTAACAACAACCATTGTTAATTACAATGTTTTCAGACGATGAATTAACAACAACTATTGCTAGCGTGGGAAGGACGTAGTTTAGCAAAGATTCTGCCCCGTTTCTTGATTTGAAAAACAAGGTTTTAACTTTTGAGGTCGATGGTTCTTGTCAATTCGACCGACTCCATTGAAGGTGAGGAAGGACAGGAGTGTTCGTTTTTCAAGGGGGGTTAGGTCAAAGCACGTGCAAAGCTAACCTCCATCTTGGCACTGGTGTACCACTTTCTTGATTTAGCGTCGACCCACCACCATGCTGCAGATAAAAATCTGCATTAGGGCATGAAGTGGTAGCTTTCTAGGGCATCCCGTCCAACCAAACATGTCGATGCATGCCACCACCACAAGTTTGAGAGTTCGATAAACTATGATTTGAAAGAGGACTTTGGTTTCAAACTCATGGATGGGAAGTCTCGTCTCTCTCTATCTAGTATCTACCTACACGTGAAACCCAACTTCTTGGCGGGAGACATCAACTCATAGCATGCGAGTAACCCTTTGTTTGACCACCATCATTTTTTTTTCTATTTTTAGTTGGATCCGGAGTAAGTCGCCCGTCGCGACACCCGTGTTCGATCTTGTGAAAGAACCCCCAAAGAACGCTGATTAAACATATTCTTTTTTATCATGATTATTTCTGCTTGTCAAGTAAACGACAGAAAAATCTCATTTATGGTATCTTGTTGGTCTCTTCAAGTCACGATGGATGACTAATTGGCGCATGCGCAACACATAAATGATGATACTTGCAAAAGGCAAATTCAGTGAGCAGCGCTTGTCATCTTCATCTGTTTATTTCACTACATCCTTTTTCTGAAAGTGATGTGGGATAGGAGTGTATCTACAAAATTTTGCATTTTGTTTCTCATTTTCTTGTTGAACTTTTGGATTTTGCCTTGTCGAGCCCAGACACCATGTAATCTCACTACTTATTCTTTATGGAACCGAGAAAAATGTAACAAATAAGTTACCCCTCTTAGTAAAACTAACCGACGGTCAGTCTCCATGCATCCTCATCCATTCCCCTCCACTACCAAAATCACTACTCACTTTCTCTCTTGAGGGTACTCCGAATTTAATTTTTTTTTATCTTTATAAATATCTATTCAACTTCTATTTTTATTTAGTGATCAAGTGGTGTTTGGATCAGTTTTTCTGCCACTCAATTAGTTCACCTCTCCAAGCAATTTTAAGGGAGCACACCCCCCACCCCCCCCGATTGGGTTGGGAATTCAGGATTGGAAAACTAACATAGATGGTCCAATGTTTGTCCTTATTTTAAATTTGTTCCATATGATCCCAGAACTATTGGTAATGTATTCATCATATTTGTTCAAACTACAAATCAGATGTTATTTGATGATGTTGATTATTCTATACTGAGTTGGGTTTTTAAAAATGACGAGTTAGCAAGTCTATCTTTTTATCCATCTATTTTGAAAAAAGACAAAAACAAATTAATGACTTCAAATATCCTACGTGGAAATTTCTTCTCCTCATTTGAGATGAATATGTTACGTAGATAATCCATATATAGCTTTTTTTTAGTCCACCATTCAATCATAACGAATTGAAAGTCACGTCAGTAGATTCTGTTAACTTGAATTAATGAAATGACGACATTAAATAATTTCATACAATTTAAAGACTAAATTAAACATTTACTAATATTTTATGAATCATATTGAACAAATTAAAAGTGCAGAGAAGGCATTGCACATTGAACCAAACTTCAAGGGCCATTTGTGTCATTTTCCCTTTAGGATTTTAAATTTAAAGTACTGCAACAAGATTTGAACCCAAGACCATAAGGAAAGAAGCAAACTTCCAACCGTTTAGGCCAACACTTAGTTAATCATGCCTATTCAACTTCGCACACAGGTGGTACATGCATAATACAAGTGTAAATAAAGGGAACAATGATTCTTCTTACTATTATAGATTGATCAAATTTCAAAATAGTATTTTTTCAACATCATCATATTTTCAAATAATATTGATTTTCATTGCAATTAAAATATTGTTAAATAATTTGGGTTACTTTATGTTAATATAGTATGTCTTATACTTTATCATTATCACAATATAATAGTAACCTAAAGTACATAATCCATAAGTAACTATATTACATATTAATAGCTGTTCATAAATAATCATCTGTACATTAGTAAAACCATTATATTGTTTGCGATTTATCGACCACACTGATATCATTTCCAAGAGATTGACATGTTGATATATTCGTGACACTCGTATAAAGTTATAATAGTTACAGATGTTGGCAATAACTATTTACATATTATAAGAAGTTCATCCATAAACAATTATACATTAGTATTTTCATCATAATGTTGTTTAAGTCACAAACTACATTTGTAAAGTTAATAATATACAAATTCTTTTGCTCGTTGGTGAATTCACCATGGTATACTAAACAAACTTGTAATTCGTTAATAATAGGGATGGTAATTTGCTAATCACGGTTACAAAATTTCAAAAAAACTGGTTTCTCACTAACTTATTGAGATGTCGGGGTGAATTCTTCTCAGCATTGGTAGTTTACCAACCACAAGTGTAGATGTTAAAGGAGTTGGTAACTTACTAATTTATTTAGACGTCGGTAAACTCGTCATGAATTTGTATTTTGCAGGCTACGCACTTGTAAAATCTGAAAGGAGTTTGATACTTTGCTAATTTATTTGAAATGTCAATAGATCCTCTATAGTGTCGGTGGTTACCGACCACACTCATAAAATTTCAACGAAGTTAGTAATTCACTAATTTCACGAAAATGTCGGTAAATTCCTGATAAGGTTGGTATTTTACCTAAATTGAAAAAAAAAAAATTTGTTAAGTTTCCTCGACTCATCCCATATACACCGACGCTGACGGGCCTACTTAAACATGCCTCTGTTCTTCAGAGCACGAAAGCTAACAGTCATTGCATGGAGCTCGTTTTCAAGGACCATTCTTGACGAGCAAGCTATTGCAGCAGAGCTAGTCGAGGACCACTCGCATGCGGTGCAGTTATTCTACGAGTCTGCGCGCGGTTTATGTATGGTGTCACGAGGAGGGGGACTCAGGGGGCCTTAGGAGGATCAAGGAAGCCACCTCTTCGACCAAATTTCCAAGATCGCCCAGTTGGGTCGATCAGCCCGGGTTGAAGAAGCCATTTTAGCGTCTTCTCCGATATGACCCGGAAGAACGCTGTGACGTTTGACTCCGGGATCTCTGTTTATGCCGACGACGGGAGGTTCCGCGATGCGCGGAAGCTGCTCGACGGAATGCTGCTTCGGAACTTGGTTTCTTGGAACACTGTGATTCCTGGGTACCTGCGTAATGATCGGATCGAGGAAGCTTATCGGTTGTTTGAGAAAATGTGTAGAAGGAGATGTCATTCGTGGGCTTTGATTACAACGTGCTTTATGCAGAGTGGGCAGCTTGAGAGCGCAAGGAAGCTTTTTGATTTGGTAAGATGTAGTTTTATGGAATGCCATGATAGCGGGTTATGCAAAGAAGGGCAAAATCGCCGTAGCTGAGCTACTTTTTCATGAGATGCCGGCTAAGAATTTTGTTACATGAAATTCAGTGCTTGCTGGGTTTTCAAAGAATCATAAAGGGCGATTGGCATTACAAATTTTTGATGAAATGGTGGACCGAGACATTGTGTCATGGAATTTAATCCTAGATAAATTTGTTCAGCTGGGTGACATAGACTCTGCTTGGGACTTCTTTAGAAGGATTCCAGACCCCGGTGACTATTTTGTGTGGGTTGATGCCAAATGGAAGGTTTCCTGGAGGCCAAGAGACTCTTTGACGAGATGCCTGTTGGAGAAAGATACGATTTTATCTTTAATCTTGATTTGAATTGATTCAATTAAGGATACTCAGAGATAAAGTACGAAAGTGTAATCGCTGTAATTTGCTTATTCTTTCCTTTTAATGCCTAGTAGGAATGCAGTTTCATGGAACGCAATGATTGCAGGGCATATTACTAACTGTCAAATGGACGATGCCATCAGCATGTTTATGGAAATGCCAGAAAGGGATTTCGTGTCATGGACTACTGTGATAAATGGATATATTCGAATTGGTAATCTTGATGAAGCAAGAAACCTTTTGGAACAAATTCTTAAAAAACATTGCAGCCCAAACAACAATGATAAGCG